AAAGAAAGAATAGACAAGAATAAAAATAATTTTTATTTTTAATTTGTAAATTATATTTATAGTTATATAATTGGTTTTTTTTATTATGTTTTTTTTTACATAAAATTTTGATTTTATGTTTTTTGTATAATTATTCTAAACTTTTAGAAACAACTATACCTTTGCTAAATAAATTGTCATATAAAAACTAATATTATTAAACTATTGTATGAAACTCTTAAGTTTACAAAAGACTACTTTATATTTCAAAGTAAGATAAATAATGTAAGTTTTTAGAAAAAGTACCTTTATATTTCAAAATAAGGTAAATAATGTAAGTTTTTAGAAAAGTACTTTAAAACAACATAAAATTTTTTTTATGAATTATATAACAGATCTAGAAATTATGTAACCCTGTTGATTTTGACTAATGTTGACATTCATGTAATGATCAGCTAATGTAAGTTATGATTAGAATATTCAAAACAAACTAAATTTTAAAAACACCTTTTATGTATTAGCAAAAAAGTTTTTTTTGTAATTTTATTATATAGCTCATTGACCTCTAACCAGCAAAGGTGAACATCCATTATTACACAAATCATAGTATAATCGATATACTGCATAACAGATCAAAATTGCTGTTAGATAATAATTTTTATATAATTTATTAAATAATTTAATAATTATTTAGTTATTATTTATTGAATAATTTATTAAAAAATTTATTTTTTGAATATTTATTATAATTTTGTTAAAATTGTTAAAATGTAATTTTTATATATTTTAATAAATCATTTATTTCTATTATATTGTCTACTATTTTGTCTATATCATCTGAACTATCCGTAACTACACTTTTATTCTCCACATCAATTGATTTACTTTTAACCAATTTACTATTTATACTTACCATTAGTGTATTAATGTTTTTCTTAACTTCATCTTAAAGATAACCTAAACATATAAGACATTTAAAATGCAATTTTTGTAAACAAGAATTATGATGACATGTCTACAAGCCAGAACACAACTATTAAATAAATTCTAACTCCTATCATAATATATCAAATCACATAAAATAGATGTATTGGAGTTTTTAAAAGTAACAAACTCTTTTAGAAGATAATAATTTGTCATTTCATAGTTTAATAATAATAATTAGTATATATTGATACTATTATTCAAAGATTTAATAATAGGCTTCTTATTATGATTTCAGTACACCTTTGCAAATATCTTCAGAAGCCATATAGAACACTTCTGAATAAGCATATCCAACTGTTGTGATATATATAAATATTTTGTAAAATGTACAAAATTCTTCTGAAAGATATTGTTATGCTATTGCTAAAAAATACAATGCACCTTTTTTTGCAATTGTTGAGCTATAAAATACTTGGCTATACATTTTTGAATAATATTATACATAATTTCAATAGGATAATTACTAAGAGAAACTAGATAGTTAGTAATAATACTAATCATTAGATGACCAATTTTCATTTAATAAAAGACATCTAAAAAGAACATTAATTGAGCATGTTTGTAATTTTTCTGATCAAATTGGAGAAAAAAGTCATTCCAACAACATATGCATGCTTTCTCATAAGCAGGCTAATCTTATTCATAATGATGCATGGCATAAATGTCTAAAACTAAAGGAACTAAATTACTTAGAAAATCAGTTAGATATAAAAATTTCATACTTTTATATATATTATTAAACTTGAAATAAACTATATTAATAATATTGGACCATGCCATATGTACAATATAAAGAATTAAATTAATTCTCTATGACTGTGATGTCTTATCTGAATTTTTATTTTTTTCAAAGATGCTCTTGTAAATATCAATAAAGAAAAAGAAATTCTTTAGATAAACCAGTTTATAGGCATTTAAAGACATATAGAGTGGCCTCTTAATTGGCAAAAGAGATATAATAAATTTAGAAATACTTTTATTCTTGTATAAATATCATTGTGCAATAGCTTTATGAATGAAAAACTGGCCCAGCTATTCCACGTGATAGGAATCATATAATTAACAAGATACTACTGCATCAGTTCCTTATCATATAAAGTTTGAATAGCATCTATATATTCTCTAATATTTTTTAAATCTTTTTGGATAAAGTCGACAAGGATATAATTACATATATATTAATCATTTCTTGCCTTTGCAAAACTGTTATCATAACTGTATAATTAACTGATTTATTGGTTCTTTATCAGTACATATTTTTTCTGTACTTTATATATGATTGTGATATGAAATTCCAAGGTTTACAATAAATCATCTATCAAGATATTTCATAATCAAGTCACTATCTAAAAACTTTATATTAAGTGCTCTATTATATAATATTACTGGAGTTAGATATGGATTTACCAAAATAGTTGTCATATGTGTTGGTCTGGAAGTTGTCATAGTATCAAGATAATGTAGAATAAAATATTATGATAGTTGTCAATGTTTAACACAAATACATTTCCAAATACTGAAAAAATACATTCTCTACATATTTTTTATGGACATCGGACATTCTTTTCTTTTACTAAGTTACTATTCTTGATGTTGTAAATACATTGATATTTGCTATCATGTTTATATCTTCATTTATTATTTCCACAGAATCTAAATAATTTGCAATATCTAATTTAAAGGTATTAATTTTTGTATTGTTCAATAAAGCAAGTAAATAACAAATAAGAACCATTAATTTTTTTATATGATTCATAATTTGCTCATTATGTTCACATGGCTGAGTAACTAAAAAAAACTAATCAAAAAAATTTTCTAAACTTAATTCATTTTCTTGAAGAAATATTTGCATTTCATCAAATAAATATATCAGGCATTCTTTTTTTATATGTTTTCTATTATAAAATATTTTCACTATCACCTTTACAACACAAGTCATATTTATCTTTTTCTTCTTTGTAGTTTTTATACTTTCATTCAAGGCAGCTTCTACTTCTCTAGATTTCTTATGAATAGTTCTTATTTATTTAATAGCTTTTTGTAAAGAATTTGCTATAAAGTTCATGTAACATCAATTACACAAAATATTCTCCTCCTTCCACATTACCTTGATCAAACCTTTACTTTTAACCTCCTTCTACATTTCAGCTTTTAATGCCTTTAACACTCTGAATTTGCACGATTTCGTGGCTTTGTACTCTATACATTGCTTAATTTCAGACATAATTTAAAAGTTAAATTAAATACGAACATTGTGGGATTAAATGGAATTAAATTAATATGTTATAGTACGGCACTAAAGCTTCAATATTGTTTAGTGAGCTTGCTCACGTTTCATAGCAGCTTTAGGTTACGCCAGCTTCCTAAAAAAGTACTTTAAAACAATATAAAAAAAATCTTTATCAATTGTGTAACGATCTTCAAATTGATGGGACGTTCACCCCTGCTCCTCTAACCTTAATCTTACCTCTAACACTAATTTAAACCCTAACGCTAACCCTATCATAAATGAACTCTGTTGGCAACAAAATTTTTCCATTATAAGTCACGTGAACGTCAGAATCAGACATTTATCGTTTATTAATCAAAATGTTAAGCTACTCGATTATTTATCGTTATTACAAAAAGTCTGAAAATTTAATACTTGCTTATAACAACCTGAACAATCAAGTTACTTTGTTATTTAGAAATAATAATCCAACTCATTTAAATTCAATCTCTAATTAAGATATTACAAAATTACGGCATTACTGCACAAAAGATTTACTACAATTAGATGCTATGCCATAATTAATTTTTACCATATGGTAAAATGAATATTCTTTTGAATATAAAAGGCTTTTAAACTGCTTGGAAATCAAAAAATAAGATTTTGTGAGATTAGGTAAATTTTGACAAAAAATTTTTGGAGACATGTGCATCATCAAAATTTATTAAAGTTAATCAGACAAATCCGAACATAATAAATTGATTATTTCAAGAATATATTTTTGGGACTCGTTATACTACAAAGGCCTTCATATTATGTTGTTTTTAATTGTATCTTTTCATTTAGTTAATAATTATAATTATTTGATGTTAATTAGTGTCGTGTTGGTAGAGATATACATCGCGCAAGATAAACCTGCATACATTTTACTTATCTCGTGCGCGAGTTCGCGAGTATCATGTGATAAATAACAATTCTTTTTAGAATATCATTAATCGGATAACCTTTATCGCTTCGCGCGAGGTACATTTCTACGCGTTGGTGGCTACATTAGGAGATGTACAAATAGATTTCTTTTTTAAAGTAAATCAGGTGTAGTCTAATACAACTTTGCTTGAAGTTATAGTAAGTGCTGAATTTCATTATCACTTATTGGAATCTAGTATATACATTCAATCATTATATGTCGTTATCATTTAGGCGGCACTCATATTACAATAGATTAATACAAAAAAAAAAAATGATTCCATGAAATTTGGTAGAGAATAAGTTATAGCGTAATAAGAAACAGTCTCAGATAACCAGGCTCAAGATTTAATTAACGGTTTATACATTCCGTTCACGTCCCTGGCAGCCAAATAACGAAGTCTAAACATTTTGTAATAATTACTTATAAGAGTTGATATCATTACTTATGATGAGAGTTTAATATCAAAGATTACATTACTTTCTCAATTCTTTACTTTTTTTAATACATCCTTACTATAGTGAAATCTCTAAGTGCAACCTCATTAGGCCATGCAAAATAAATTTTTCGTTTTGCATAACCCGCCGACCCATTTTTCCGATTTTTAAAAGTTATTTATTTACTTTTTTTTAAAAGTTCCAATTGTGCCAATTATTCTTAAATTTTCCTATCAATTTTATCCGATGTCACCCGACCCGGGCATAATCTCTAAATGAGAGTCCCTGCTGTGCTTCGGACAATAATGTTATAATAGGAACTTTTTAAAAGATTTAGCATATGGATATTATCACAAAATCTCATTTTTTATTAATTAAATGCATGTATAAATTTAATGTTTATTTATAATGATAATGAATATTAGTTAAATATAACATCTTTTCTAGGTGTAAGTTTTACAAACATTCCTTCAATAATAGAATTAAATAACATACTTTTGTAATGTAATTCTTCGTTAATTAAAGTAACATCATACTTTCTAAATAGCATGGCCATTATTCCTATCATCTCTATCATTGCCAATTTCTTACCAGGACATTGTCGGATTCCTTTACCAAATAATATAAAATTTCTTTTTACAATATTATCATCCAAAAATCTATCTGGATTAAAGATCTCAGGGTCTTTCCAATATAGAGGATGTTTATTTGCACCATCAAAAAACATTATAAATTCAGAACGTGCTGGCCATTGATAACCAAGCAATTCATCAGGTTCAGTGTTTACACGAGAAGTAGAATGAGCGATAGGATGCATTCTTCCTGCTTCATATAATATAGCTTCACAATACTTTAATTTAGAGATATCATCCGAAGTAAATGGACGATCATGATCTTCACCAAAGACCGCATCAAGCTCTTGCCGAAGCTTTTTTAAGACTTTTGGATGTTTGCATATATAATAGACTAAAACGCAGATCGCATTTGTGGTCTATTAAAAATTAAATTAATATTATTCAAAGAATTTATGTTTTATTGCAGTTTGCAAAAATTTTGTGAAATTCACAGATCAAAAAAAAAAAAAAGAAATCACTAAGGAATTACTCGATTGTTAGATGATTTTAGATTTTTTAAAATTCCTCCTACATGAAGATTTTACATTCAAATATCGGAATATTTTTAATCACCTAACAATTGTGATTTTTTTATCTGAAAATTTCACAAAACTTTTGCAAATAAAATATTAAAGTTTATAATTACCGTTTCGCTTCCACCAATAAATGCATCCCTAATATTTCCCATAATTTCATCATCAGTCATAGGTCGTAAATCAGGTCTGCTACCCTTATTGTTATCCTTTTCGGTATTCGCCACAATGAGTAATGATAACATATCATTAAATACCATATCATTATCATTCTTTTCTTCAATCTCTTTTCTCCTATTTTTAATAATATCCATAATTTTTCCATTTATATTATCACGACTTTCTATTCCAATTTTAGTAAAATTTTTAAGTATTGGTACATAGTGTCTAATGTAATAAGGAAAAATAGCAAATGTGGTGAAAGCTGCAACATATTTTTGTATGTTATGGATAAAATACTCAGAATCATCTAATATGGCTGACGGAATATCAACAATTTTTTTTGTGGTAAATGTATTAAAGTACACAGGCAATGTATAAGCCCTTTTTCCAGTAGTAATTTCAATAATCATATCAATAGTAAATCGTTGCATCCATTGAGATAATTCAATTTGATAATCATTACCAAGTGTGTTCCAATACAGTTCCATCTCTTTCCATATTTTATTAGTAGCATCAATAGCTTTAATATTAAAACTAGGAGTAAGCATAGCTTGATTAAAAAAATATCGATTAAATTTCCAACTATCAAGATTATCGTTTGCTAATATTCCTCGTTGATTCATTCCAAGTTCGTGAAGGCCTTCATTTGTTCCCATACGAGATAACCATTTTGTTTTTGTAGAAGATGAAAGTAACTTGTCCCAATGTTCTACGCGACATAAATAAATCTTGCGTTTATTACTTAACCAGACTTCAAAAACATCACCATATTGTTTTTGGAGACTGAGAATCCATTTATTATATCCATAGCGTTTATTCCAAAGCTATAAAATAATAATAATAACAATATTGTTAAAAAGAAGGTAATAATTTACAGCAATTGAAAAGCAAGAAGTAAAATTGGTATACAAACAGATCCGATAATAGGTAAGGGAAATGGCCCAGGGAGTTTGTTAACGCGAGTAAAATATTGGTAATAGAAATGACTAATATATAGAAACACTGAAAATAGTAATATATTTAGGGTGTCTTTAAAAGAAAATGATAAACATTGTAATAGTGACATCTCGATTCAACCTTACGTGTGTTTAATTAATAAAATTTTAATTAAAAAAATAACGCGAATAATTCATCAATTTATATAAAAAAAATCCATCTAAAATAATAATCAATTTCATTAGCGCCAAGAAACAGCTACTTCTAGATCCTTGAACATTTTCTGAAGAACGTATCAATTAATGGCTCAAAAATGTCCGATTTGATCTTGTCAAAAATCACCCTGCAATATGAATTTCATTACTTTAAACGTTGGATATCCAAATCATGAGAATTAACATTAGTAAACATCGGAATTTCCGAAATTTAATGGCCGACGCCAATCAGATTACTAGATCAGGTGTGACGTGAATATCGTAACTCGAAAATTTTGATTTTCTGCGCTCTAATAAGGAAAGAATTTTCTCGTGAAATTTCCGTACAGACTGTACTCTATCTTAAGATTTTAGTACGTACTTTAAAATATTGCGCACATTAAATTGTCTTGATTATTCAAAGAAATAGGATTGGTGCATATTTGTCGATCTTACTGAGGCAGCATTGATGCAAGTGTATATTTTATGCATTAATAATATCCAAATTAGAAAATAAATGTCCAATAAAAAAATCTTTTTAAATTTCTCCTCTTCAATCAAAAAGTTTCGTATAATTATATGCTTTTAACAATTTCCAATCATATAAATCCATTTAGAGTTCCAATCCATTATCTGTTTATCCATTTATCCATCCAATATCCGAATATATTTGGATATCTGGTTACTATTGATAACCGGATAATTATCCGGATATCTGTTGGTTATCCGGATATTAATAGTAAATGGATATTCAGATAAATTTGGATATGGATAAACGGATGACAGATTTATCCGGATTGGAACTCTAAATCCATTTATTTCGCAAGTTTCAGACGTTTGATCACATAAGCACGTACAGATTTAATATATATGAGTGACTAAAAGGGAAAACCTGTAACTCACTCAATGAATGAAATGATTTACAGGTTTTCCCTTTTCGTCACTCATATCAGGTATAGAATCAACGAGTAAAAAAAAAAAATTTATAATAAGGATTACATACTCACAATCAAGATTGTAATGATATCATGTGAACTTAGTAATGATAACACAGATAATAAACCAGCCTTTTTACGCTATCACTATTCCTAGTTCTGCAAATGCTAGGTATTGACTAAAAACGGCAACGTTTTAGAATGAAAGTATTGCTATTACTTATAAAATTACATCTATGATAACTTCCCGGTTTTTTTTCATTTATATCAACGGGTCGAATTTATATTCTTCCTAGTTCATGTATACTTGCTGAACAAGTCCTAAACTATTATAGTTTAGGTTTGTCCACGCCAAATCCCAAACCCAAGCCCAAACTAATGTCTCACAAACTCTATTAATAATAATCTTTATTCAAACAAAATATTAAAATTAATTTGTTGTTTTAATATTTTATAAAAGCAATTTGTTTTGTTTGAGGATTGAGCTTTGTCTAGGTTTGTCAGCAATTATAAGTTCATGTATAATATCAACAATCGTACCTAGTATTCCATTTACTAATTCTTGATTCTTTAGCATTAAACATTCTGCTTTATTCTAGTTTCATTCTTTATAGTAATTGTTCTGGTTTATAAAATTCTTACGTCAAATGGCAATTTATGGAAGCATGCAAGAATTTTGTGCAAGGTCGATCGATAAAATTATTTAAAAATTTTGACTATGAACATTTCACAAATATTTCACAAATAATTTCGACACAAACTTTAATTTAAATCATCTAATCCTAACTCAATCTCAAAACGGCTTAATTTAATGCAGGCCGATGTCGATCAAAAGAAACTTTCTACGAATAGAAATTCTTTATTGAAAATATATTCAAACTTTGACAGTAAATAACCTTTGATTCACCAGTCATTTTACCAACAAAATAACCGCCTTGATAAAACGATTATAACGAGCACAGTTTTTCTAAAACCCAATAGCCCATCCGATAATTTTAGCGTTTTTTAGGCACCTATCATGGATGTGTACCAGGATGGTCATCCGATCGGAATTATAGTATTACCGTTACGTTTTATATTAATTTATGCAAAATTTTACGTAATAAATATTTCTAAGCTTTTCCTTTTGCAAAAGTTCATTACAGAGTCGTGTTTTAATATTGTAAACCGTTACTTCGCTATTTTGCAAACTAAAGCTACAATATAAATTAAAACCTAACGAACTATTGAATATATTGAATCTACTTACCCCACTTCAACGAATACTTATACCAGCCAACAAGTATTGAGAGTTACGATGAATTAGAACCTAAAATCACTTTTAAAAACGTGATAATTGAGAATATTAATATTAAAGAAAATAGATACTTGAAGTGATTTCATGGGTTTCAAGAAAAATCAACAACGCAATACACCTGATCAGAACTTATCCAGTTAAAGGGAACAAAGTCATTTTTTGAAGAAATGAGATAGTAATTTTAGTAAAGCCAAAAATTAATAAATATGAATAAAAACCCACATACAGTGATTTAAGTAATAGAAGCACGAATTGTTTTATGGAATTGAAGTTAAAAACTTATATTATTTGTCAAAAAAAAAAAATTTAAAACAACTCAAATTAGCAATTAAAAGCGAAAGTCTGTAACATTGTATAACGTTATAAAGCATATGAAGTATTGCTTTATTTAAGGGGAATTTACACATAAGGGTCCAAAAATGAAATTAATTACGGATGAGGGCCCAACATAAAAATTCTTGCATATAGCGGCCCAAAATAAAAAATTTATTACAACTAAAGGCCCGTCCGATCTCCGAGCTATGTTAAGCTACATGACTCTCATAGGCAGAAGTTTGTCCGATTGGCTAATAAATTCAATTTAATTTTACATTATTTATATAGTTTAGAGTACTTTTTTAAAAAAACGAAAACTAAT